TGCTGAAAAGAAACCATCACTGTTCAGAAGGATACAGAAAAATAAGTCCTGATGAGAAACTTTCCTTACCAATTATGTGCAATACAAGTACTGTGTGGCCCTTATATATATTTCCAATTAGTAAAGTTGCTTAAGAATCTTTGGTTTCAATTAAGGTCGGTTTCTTTACAATTCAAGTCAGGACCTACATGCAGGTTACAAGACCCAGGTCTGAAAGTTAAAACAGCAACAGTTTGAAGAAGGATAACTCTTGTCAAATGGACACTGTATTCCACCTACCCCTTACAGCAGGTTTCTGAACGTAAAATAGACATCCCTTACTTGACACTCACTTGTTTGTAGTTGCAGGTTCTCTGAAATTAATGCACGGTGTCTAGACAGATTCCCAACGCTGAAGTCTTTAGGGCCTTTCATATTTTTAATGTAAGGAACAGAATAGTACATCTGTCTTCATCATTCCCTTCTGCAAATGCTTAAGTGCTAACCTTCCACTCACTATGCTAGCAAGTTAGCTTGCCCCTCTGGCTGTGGAAGGCTTTTCTGGGACAACTGGATCATAAAACCAATTTCCTTTTTGCATAACACCTTATAATATGACAATGAAACAGCTATTTAGAAGAGCAACGTTTCCTAACTGGTCTGGTAACTACATTCAACATCTGCTCTGAGTTATAACAGAATGATATCTATACCTCTGAGAATAACGAAAAAGACTTCACTGAGACTTGGAAGAGAGAGTTAGTAAGAGATCGTTTTAAAATCATAGCTGTTAAAGTGTCCCAAGTCCCTCCTTACTTTTTTACTTTCAGGATAAGGGCTGATGTAAAGAAACAGCCCTCAAAATTCAAAGATGTGACCTTCTTTATTTTGTCCCACTCTACATGTGAGTGAAAGGTACTATTTTAAAGATATTTTCAGTATTACTGAGATATACTCGTCAGTTGATGAATAGTCTGATACCTGCATTTTTGTCGCGTTTGCACCTCTGAAAGCAATTCTTATGTCAGAGAAGGTGCTGCTGATGCAGAACCAAAAACTGCAGTCTCTTACAAGTAGCAAGGGAGTCTGTAAGGGTACGCCTGACTTTATTCATCAGAAAGCTTCCACCTACCCGTATGCCTGACTTGCAGAAGCTCTGCCAAATGATGCAGAGCAACAGCTAGTAAGTTCTGTGCTCAAAATTGTCTTGCTCATTCACAGTCAACAGTCAAGTTCAATCAAAATAAACAGTTTTGAAATAACTCAGGACTTCAAAGATGAAAAATGCCCTCTACCACTTACACTCCTAACACATTACAATTTCTAGACCATGTCTCATGCTCCCCAATGTAATAGGCTGTCACACTGCTGAATTATTGTATTTTCTGGTAGGAAGTACTTCGGGAAAATACACTGCATTCTGACATTAATATTTCAGTTTGGGCTGCGCTAAGTGAGTAATGTAAGGCTGTCTGTTTTGAATTTCTTAGCATGCAATGGATAAGCACTGGAAGCATGCAAAAGACGTGGGAAGTTGTTATGTAGCAGGAGAAAAAAAAAAGAAAAAGGAGCAATTGTCATACATTAACACATTAATGAATGCAATAAATATAATACACTAAATTCTTACTGTGGCAGTGCTGTTTTGAGCCATTCTCCTGGCAAAGCTGTTGTTTTGGTTGAGGGGCATTAAAGGAATTACTACAGAAGACAGCAGTGATACAATGGAGAGGAGGGCCTATGGAAGGGAGAAAGCTTAGGCAGCACCTGATAACAAATCCATACACAAAGCAAGAATGCAGCTTTGAAGAGACTCCTTGCACATGCTCCCTCCACACAGTGGCCATTTTAATTATGCCAGAAAGGGTGGAATGAAGAATTCAATAAAGTAACAGCAACATGCTTTCTAGTATGGCAACAACTACTGGGCATCCAGGAACAGAAAACCACAATACCAGATGAATTATAGCACTCAAAATCTGCATCACAGCATATCATACTGCTTCCTTATAATAAAACCAAACCTAACACATCCCAGAAATAACATGTACTGGAAGGGTCCTGAAGATTCAAGGGCCAGATCATCAAGCATTCATACAGACCTCATTTCCTTCATCCTTCAGCATAGGACTGTGCAGGGCAAAGCAGTCGGTTTCCCAGTCAGTTCTTCATCACTAAAACCCAAGCAAGTTTCTAAGTCTCCGACTGCACTAGCAGTACATGGCCTCACCCACAACTGGTGATTTAGCACTGTTAACCCTGATAAAGTCTGTCTAGATAGCCATGCTGCAGGCTGGTAGCCCAAGTACCACTTTAGTCTTATGCTTACTGGTCTTAGAAGATAATTTCAGATAATTGTTTTAGCCTCTGTACAATACAGCTCAGCCATGCCTTCAGTAAGGACTCAAAAATATCCACTGTATAATTCTGCCATGAAGTTTTCTCCATCTCTTCCCTGGAAGAGATCTATACTCTCTGCACAGCTCCAGGTTGGGGCATGAGACATGATATACTACTAATGTGCAGAAAGACCAAGTACACCTGGCTAGTGCTGGGTATTTAACTAC